TTATACCAAAATAAACTTATCTTTTAATTCCATATTTGATGAAAATTTTGACATGCTCTTTATCTGCTGGACCTTGAGAAATACAAAAATGAATTCAACAAATATCCTGTGCCTTCATGTAATCAAAGTTCAGTAAAAGATACAAGGTATGTATTCAATATTTTAGAACACAAATCAGATTATAGGTTCAATAACCAAAGTTAGAACAAAGTGCTAACACATCTCAAAAAAACACAAATGAATCTAACTAGGGCTTAATAAAAGGTTTAATTCTGAGTTTCTTTGATACTGTGTCCTCACAATAATGTGTCTTTACTTCAAGCTGTCAACAAATAATCATTGCCACATACCAAGAATACAAGTTGAGAACGTCAAACCTTCTTAAGAAAGCAAATTATCAATTTTAGTTCAACATGACACACAATCTAATACACATGTGCAACAGGATCACACATAAAATTAAGAAAACAAACACCCCCACCTGCACAGGAGACTCCAAAAAGTCTAAAATCCAGAGGATAAGTAGGTATCTGCCAATTAATGGAAAAGAAGGAAATTGAAGGATAAAGAAAGAGCATGTTGCAAAGCCATGACACTGCATGGCAGCAACAGTCAACAGTTTGATAAAACTACAGCATTAAATGAATGAAAGGAAAAACTGAAAGTGAAATGGGTCTGGTAGAAAGGGGAGGCCTTCTATAGGTTTAAGAATGTTACAATTGATGTTTAAATCGAGGGCAGACATGAGGGGAGGTAGAATTTTTGTAAATTACTTAGTGAGTCTAATACAGGGCAATTTTGAGTTCCGTTAGTATGAAAGTAGGGAGGTGTTAGGAAACCTTGCAGTACTGAGGGGCAAAGAAGATGGCATTTTAAACTAGAACAGTGGTAGCTGAGATGGACAGGTGATACCAACAAGCATACTTTTTATGGTAGAACCAACAGGAATTGGCAGTTGACTGGTGAAACTTAGGGGAAAGTGAGTTTTTTATAGTAGGTAATATAGCAAAATAAGTGAAGACATAGGATGGGGAATGGCTAAGAAGTTGAAAATCTATTGCTAAGTATGAGAATATTTCAAAAAGTTTGTGCAGAGTTAGGCATTTCGTTGAGCCATGAAGACAATAGTTAAAATATCTGCATCCCTTCTCAGAGTATCTGTGTTGGATACCTGGCTCTGGCTCCTGACTCCAACTACCTGCTAACGCAGACCCAGGGAGGCAGCAGTGGTAGCTTAAGTATTTGAGTTCTTACCACCCACATGGGAGACCAGACTGTGTTCCCAAGTTCCTAGCTCCAGTTTTGACCTAGCCCCAGCCATTGCAAGCATTTATGGAGTGAGCCAGTGGATAGGAGCACTCTCTCTATGTGAATGTATATGTGTGTTTGTGTGTGTGTATGTATTCGCCCCTGAAATAAATAAACAAATATTTTAAGTCTGTGGGAAAATGAAGAGAAGATAAGTTTATTTGGGTGCAAAAAATTTTTGAAATTCATACATATATTAAAATATGTATATTTTCCAATTAGTTTTGAACACAGCTTGTATGCAAGAATTTCAAAAAATTTTGCACCAATAAACCTACCTTTTAATTCCACTTCTCATGAATTGTTTGAAATCCCTTGTGTGTGGACATATCACATTAGCACAGAACAAAAATTCAGATTTTCTGACAGTCTTGGAATCTTACAAGCTTCTTGTCCACCCCTCTCTCCATAACCAAGAATCTTGAAATCTATCACTTATTTATTGGGTCTTTAAGTCAGGCATTACAGAGGAACAAAAGACGATTCCTAGATTAAGAAGTTGGCCTGAATGGATAGAAGTTATAAGTAGTGTGATCAGGATCCACTTGGACTATCTGGCTCCAGTATGATATTGCCATATTTTTCCACCATATTCAAAATATCCCAGCAATATCACCAAATGAAAATGAACTCTATATTAAATTGCAAAGTCAGTGTATCTGACATTCTTTGGATTATCTTCAATTTCTTTTTTTTTTTTTAATTTAGAACTTTTATTTAAAAAAAAATGTCAAGGATATCAAAATTGAAAAAAATACTTCATTAACATAGGATCTCTGATTATTATGAGGTAATAATCATTCACTTATATAAAGAGTCAAATTATGTTTAAATATATTTATTACATATTAAGTATATTTAATATTTGATTAGTAGAAATATACACTTAAAAGATATTAAAAATCAGCTCTTAACATTCAGTTTTCTAAACCCAAAGATAGAAAATACATGAGATTATCTTGACAAAACACAAAATTTCTTTCCCTCATGTAATTAGTTACCAAAAGATAAAGAACATCCTTTTGTACTGTACTTCTTCTAATGGGAAGTTCCCCCAGATAACTTAGAAGTTAAACCTAATGGAAAGGTACCCAAACTTAGACATTGAAATAGTATGTGTGGAATCTGTAAGCATTCAACCTTATAAAAGAATGAGAACACTTAGAAACAAGTACACCTGAGGCAGGTGCTGTGGAACTGCAGGTAAACCACCGCCTGCAGTGCTGGCATCCCATATGGGGGTCAGTTGAAGTCCTGACTGCTCTACTTCTGATCCAGCTCTCTGCTATGGCCTGGAAAAGCAGTAGATGGCCCAAGTACTTGGCCTCTCTGCACTAGTGTTGGAGACCCAAAAGATGACGTTCCTGGCTCCTGGCTTCAGATTGGCATAACTCCAGCCATTGCAGCTTTTTGGGGAGTGAACCAGCAGATGTAAGACCTCTCTCTAACTCTCTCTCTGCCTCTCTGTAACTCAGCCTTTCAAATAAATACATAAATCTTTTTTTTTTAACTTTTATTTAATGAATATAAATTTCCAAAGTACAGCTTATGGATTACAATGGCTTCCCCCCATAACGTCCCTCCCACCCGCAACCCTCCCCTTTCCCACTCCCTTTCCCCTTCCATTCACATCAAGATTCATTTTCGATTCTCTTTATATACAGAAGATCAGTTTAGCATACATTAAGTAAAGATTTCAACAGTTTGCTCCCACACAGAAACATAAAGTGAAAAATACTATTTGAGTACTAGTTATAGCATTAAATCTCAATGTACAGCCCACTAAGGACAAAGATCCTACATGAGGAGTAAGTACACAGTGACTCCTGTTGTTGACTTAACAAATTGACACTCTTGTTTATGGCATCAGTAATCACCCTAGGCTCTTGTCATGAGTTTCCAAGGCTATGGAAGCCCCCTGAGTTCACTGACTCTGATCATATTTAGACAAGGCCATGGTCAAAGTGGAAGTTCTCTCCTCCCTTCAGAGAAAGGTACCTCCTTCTTTGATGACCCGTTCTTTCCACTGGGATCTCACTCGTGGAGATCTTTCATTTTTTTTTTTTCCCCAGAGTGTCTTGGCTTTCCATGCCTGAAATACTCTCATGGGCTTTTCAGCTGGATCCGCATGCCTTAAGGGCTGATTCTGAGGCCAGAGTGCTGTTTAGGACATCTGCCATTCTATGGGTCTGCTGTGTATCTCACTTCCCATGTTGGATCATTCTCTCCCTTTTTGATTCTATCAGCTAGTATTTGCAGACACTATTCTTGTTTATGTGATCCCTTTGGTTCTTAGTCCTATCATTATGATCAATTGTGCACAGAAATTGATCACTGGGACTAGTGAGATGGCATTGGTACATGCCACCTTGATGGGATTGAATTGGAATCCCCTGGTATGTTTCTAACTCTACCGTTTGAGGTAAGTCAGAAACACGGTCATCAGTATGAAAGAAGATAAAGGAAGGAAACCTCACAGCAAAAGATCACAGGGAATTCAAAGCATATATTAGAACTTATCTTTGGCAAATGGCAGGGCAAAGTTACCACTTTTCATTAGTCACATTGAACGTTAATGGCCTGAACTGTCCAGTTAAAAGACACCGATTGGGATTTGCTTTTTAACCTGATGCAATTTTAAATGATGCTTAATTTTGTTTTTAAATTTCAAATCCTAGCTCTTACCCATACATGGAACAACAATTAAATTGTACATGTAATTCGCCACTTTGCTACACTAACATTGTTCCAGGGGTACTTATGATGTACTTTTGAATTTTCTATACATGCAATAATGACATTTGCTAGCAGTTTTATGTCTTCCTTCCCAATATAAATACATAAATCTTTAACAAAACTGTTCTATGGATTTTTTTTCTGCTTTTGTTTCTAAGATGGATTATCTTCAATTTCTAATTTTCCAAGTTTCTTCAATATCAAAGTAACAAGAGCTAATTGGCTGTGCCTACTTTTTACCTTCCCAGAGCAACAATTCCTCATCCCCAGTTCTGTTTCATCTAATGACTTAGTGAGAACTTTGGAAACTATTTTTATGTGACATAGTGAAAGCTCAAGAGTAAGGATTCAATATCTTAATATACTGATGGAATGAACTTTTAATAAAATACTTTGTTCATTTGTCCAAGACTATTTTGAAGCAACTATCAAAGATGTAGTATATGGCCAGTAAACTTTTTAGTTTATATATTTATTCTTATTTATTGCAAAGGCAGAACAACAGAGAAAGAAAGAGAGACAGAGACAGAGACAGAGGCAGAGAGAGACAGAGATCTTCCATCCACTGGTTCACTTTCCCAGTGCCCACAACACTCAGAGCTGAGCCAGGCGAAGCCAGGAATCAAGAACTCCATTCAGGTGGGTGCTAGGAACCCTAGTTCTTGAGCCATCATCTGCTGCTTCCCAGTATGCACATTAGCAAGAAGCTGGATCAGAAGCAGAGGCAGAACTCCATATGAGGCACTCTGATATGGGCTATGGATACTCCAAATGGCAACTTAACCTGTTGCACCACAACATTTATTCCAGCCAGTATATTTTAAAAATAAACATCATCATAGAGAAATTCATGACCCAGGATAAATCTGGGTAGCAGTTAGGGACGTAGAACTAAATAAATTAAAAGCACGTTACTTACTTTGTAGAACTAAATAAATTAAAAGCATGTTACTTACTTTGTCTTGGGAGAAGCTGAAAAGTTGTTTTCTTTCAACAAAGAACTGAACAGCTACTACACTGGCTGAGTGACCCCAGAGGATACCCACTGGTTTGGAAACAACATAGGGATTCCAAAGGCAAACTTTATTGTTAATGCCAGCAGTTGCTAATCAGAATAGAAAAGAAAAAAAATGTTTTTAATGGCATGAATAATCCACAATACTTTCTCTCTGAAATGAGTTTATCACATAGCTCTCAGATGATAAGGGCCTTCCAACAAACACTAATGAATCTACTCTCAAAAGAAGCAAAATCTTGCAACGTCCAGCTAGACTAGGCCAATAAAGCATGAATGCTATCAACAGAAAAAAGTAAACACAGTAGGGAGTAAGGGGGCTGCATCATGGGGAGAGATACCATGTGAGGTAGAAGGGAATTATAAACCATCCAGCAGTGCAGCCAAATTATGTTCACAGTCCTGTAAATAATCATGTGTATACAAACAAACAAGCAGCACAAACATACTTTGTTCTGCTTTAGTGACAGAATAAGGATTTTTGATCTTGAATTTGTCATATGTATTCAGGAAAAAGGAATGCAGTGCATATTCAGGTCTGTGGAAATTCTGTATAGCACTCTTTGCTATTCTGTTGTTTAGGAACAACCCTGAGCTGAGCTTATTCATCATTTTTTCCGCATAGTGACAGGGACAAAGTAGTAACCAGCAGAAAGGGATTGAAACAATTAATGAATTAAATGGCTGATATTTGGGTACTTGCCAAACAGATGCGCCCTTTCCAGCCTTCTCTACTCCTTCAAAGTTTGATGCTGGCATATTCCTGAATCCATATTCAAGGTATCTTTAGCCAGTATTGTCAGCTATTATTGTTGGAAATGTTAGGGAACCCACCACTTAACAGATATCAATACCCTTCATATGAGTGATAATTATTGATTGAGGGTTATTATTACCCATCCTGTAAGCTATGTGCATTCTCACATTCTCTGTAATTATCCCATTAATTTTTCAACAATACAGTATACCTTACTTTTTAAATAGTGTTTGAACTAGCATATATCAACATCTCAGCTTTCAGATTGTCTAAATATTTTATTTGAAGAGCTAATTCCTGAAAATCTTTATATCTTCCCAGTTTAAATGTACTCTTTTACATCAAAGGAATCCTTCTGTAGTAAACTAAAGCTGGCATAATTTGAAATTTTTCAAAAATAACTTGAGATCATGTTCCAAAAGCAACTGAAAAGCACACTACATTTTGCTGTATTCCACTGGTGGGTGTGTGTAGTAATAGTAGTAGTAATGGTAGTAACAGCAGCTGTAATGGAATGATCTATTAATTTGGATGGAACATTTGGTGGTGTTAGAGAAATGGCAAAATGGCAGATGCTGCAAGGTCTGTCTTCCTCCTCTCTATCATTGAATATCCCCCACCAACTCCAATAAGAAGCCTCATTAAAGCATTGAGGCACTTTCTCATGTTTTCACCCCAACGTAGTTCATATACACCACACACCACAGTGCATCATTTTCAGGCATTCTCAGGCAATAAAATATGAGCTGTTCAAGTTGGTCTCTCTGGCAATAAAGCAACAAGGTGGAGAGGTTTTGTGCATACAAATATACATTGCAGACTATTTATGGGGCCCTCATAGTTACCATGATTTATTTTACATACCAATTAAATTGAGCTGAGAGTGGTAATCAAAAGCATGAATGCCCTGGGCAATGTTGAAGGATGTCATTTTCAGATGCTTTTTTGATTTCTCTCTCCAAGCCAGCACCACAGTATTTGCATTGCTGGTTGTACTGGAAATGATAGCATCTAAAGATGCACTGTACATGACTGATACAAAAAAAATTAAAAAAGAAGAAAATGATCTTTAGTTAGTTCTTCACAAGATTTTAGCAAAATAAAACAGTTTTAATATGAAAAGTTAAAAAATTAAACTCAGGTTATAATCATACAACCCAATACTCAGAAAATGCCTCTAACCAGGAATTTACTGAGAGGTTATAGCAAATTCTGCATTTTGACTTTTTCTTTTTCCATTCAAGGGATATCTTGATGGCTTTTTTTTTCTTTTGCTTTTTCTTTCTTTCTTTCTTTTTTTTTTTTTTTTTGTGAACACTTGACAAGATACAATGTTCATCAGAATAATCATATAGAATTCTAGTAAGATAAGTAATTGACCAAATTCCTATGTTTTTGCTTGGGACAGGGGGCAGGCAATAGGAGTTAACCACCTACCTACCTGGACCTCCCCAAAGGTCCAGTTCTTGCTCAAAAATAGTTCTAATTCTGACTGGTAATGGTGCAAATAGAATGGCTAGGACTTAGCTCCCTACCAAGGTTCACAAACACAGCTACAAGTTCATGTCAAAATACCTGTTTCTGTGTTCCTGACAACACAATGGCAGATGTTGTAGAGCAAAATCCTACTTCCCATCCAAGGATAATGGTCCTGCTCCCTTTTGCCAGGAGCATTTCCCATCTCTGTCAGACTCACAGGCTCCAAACATCAAATAGCCATAGGTGCTCTTGACCCCTTTCACACCACAGTGTCTTCCAGGGTTAGGTAGAAATTCTTTTTGTATTCTACTCAGTTATTTTGTGGCTAAATTATTATAAGATTTCTGATTTGACCTCATGGTCAAATTCCTGCCTCACACAAAGAGGAATTTTATTCTTTTGAATAGCTATTAAAGGGTTGCTTTAATAGAATAACCCTTAGACATATTTCTGAGCTGCTTATTATATAGAAGCAAAGTTGACACTCTGCGAGGCAGTTCTCAAAGGGTCACTAGCATTTCTGAACTTCTTTGAAGCTAAGCACCGACAGCCCTTTGTTCTAGATTATCTTTTAAAGATTTTTGCAACAAACAACCTTAGATGTAGGGATAGTGTCTCCCTTTGGAGAAAACAGCTTGCATGATTGCTTCCCAAAATAGTAAAGAGTAGCTTCCTCTAGAACAGAAGGCAGGCATGCATTTTATCCGCTCTAAAAGACCCAGATTCCCTCAATTTGTGATTCCTCTCCTATAATACAATACACTGTATGTGAAGGTACTCACTGGCCCATCTGTCTGCCTTTACGGAATGGGTGTCAAGAAGAATGGAGATAAATATGCCAATACTTATGCTGCTTATTCTATGAACAATAAAGTTATTTTTCTCTGACACAAGGGTCTTATGTATTCTCTCACTGTATTTTTAAAATTTCTGTCTTCAAGTAGACACTATAATAGCAGCATTGCTAGTTGTAATGGAAATGACAAGCTAATTTGCTGATGAATAACATGAAAATTGCATAAAACCTTAGAGTCTTCAAAAGTCCTAACAGTTACTGTTATGGTCTGAAATTTTGCATCCTTCCATAGCCCTAAGATTCATATGTTGAAATCTTAAACCTACAAAAAGATAGTATTAAGATATGGTGCCTTTAAAAGATGGCCTTTCCACCATGTGAATATGTACTAAGAGGCATCATCCATCAAGTAGCAAGTGGGCTTTCAGCAGGCACCAAATCTTGGACTTCTCAGATTCCATAACTGTGAAAATAAATTTATTTTGTTTATAAGATGCCCAGTTATGGTATTTTGTTATACCAGCCCAAACAGACTAAGAAAGGAACTGCTGTGATTTGAACAGGATTTGGTTTCCACACCCATGCAGACATAAAGAACTAAAAATCAGAAGTCAATTACACTAGAAAGGTAGAAACTTAGCCCAATTATGGTATTTAGCATATGGACCAATTGGAGTTCCTTAGGTTTTTAGGGATGGGCCCTGGGAAGGTAATTCTTGCAAAAGAGTTGGTTACAAAAGCAAAATCGGGTGCAGCTGTGGACTCAGTTTCCTGGCTTACTATATAAACTTTTGCACACACTCTGCCATTGCCATCCTCATCCGATGTCAGATCAATAGAGGCTACCTGATCTTGGATTTCTGCTACCAAAACTGTGAGCTAAATAGAGCTCTTCTCTTTATAAAGGAAGTTGTCTTGGGTATTTCATTGTAGTAGTGAAAAGCTGACTGATATAGGACTCTTTATACAGAAGTACTTCTAACTTCATTAAAAACCATCCCTCATTAAAAAGTATTTAATTTTACTGTTTTTGTGAAGTAGCATGTTGTTTTCTCTGTGTGTGTATGAACATCTATATATGTGTATATATCTGTACACAGTATTTTGTGACGGCAAACTGTTTGAACCAAAATGGATAGATTAAAAATTAAGTAATTCACATGCCAATATCAACTCCTAAGTGGATAAATCCTAGCGATTATAAAAAACAATACAATTGAAGAGGTCAGAGAAGAAGGAATGGATTGACAATTTCCTTGCCTTTAGTAATAATGGGAAGATCCTTTCAAGAGCTGATTTTGATGTGTGAATAGCTTAATATAGAATGTTTCCTAGCTATCTCCCTAGGGAAAAGTGACTTAACGTGAACAATTTATAACTAAATTAATTGAGACTATTCAATATGTCAGTATAGATATCCTCTCTCCAACCATAGCATCGCATCTCCAAAGACTTATTGGACATCAACTATGTGCCCTGTGCTATAATAAGGACAACAGAAAAGTCAGCGTACTCAGGATGTAAATCTTATGGCCCAAGTCTGGAAGAAAAGATATGTGATCCAAACAGTTAGAAAACACTTTAGTACATAATAAAGTGGTAAACTGAATGGTACAGAAAGCGTAATAGAAGTCCAAAGAAGAAAGAAATCAGTGTGACTCATCTGGAGATGGTGTCAGAGAGAAGATTCTCTCTCACACACACACTAACACACACTCACACACACACACACACAGAGAGAGAATTTAGAAGACATTTGATGAATGCTCACAAACAGCATCTCAGTGGATGAGAAATCATGACAAAACACCTGTATGGGAAACAAAAGGTAAACTCCAGAACTGAGAGCTACTATACTTCTTTGTCCTGCAGATGGAGAAATATAGAATCACATACAAACGTTTATTCAATGATTTCATTAAAGTCAGCAATTGTTTGTTGTCAAACTCAGGTCTGGAATCCTGAGGTTGACTCCATTTGGTGCCACTTACAAGATTACAAATCTGTGGCGCAGTAGGTTAATCCTCTGCCTGTGGCACTGGCATCCCATATGGATGCCGGTTCTAATCCCGGCTGCTCCTCTTCCGATCCAGCTCTCTGCTGTGGCCTGGGAAAGCAGTGGAGGATAGCCCAAGTTTTTGGGCCCCTGCACTCACGTGGGAGACCCGGAGGGGGCTTCTGGCTCCTGGCTTCGGATCAGCGCAGCTTCAGCCATTGGGGCCAGTTAGGGAGTGAACCATCGGATGGAGGACCTCTCTCCCTCTCTCTGTCTGTAACTCTACCTCTCAAATAAATAAATAAAATCTTTTTTAAAAAAAGATTACAAATCCATGCTCGGAACAGCCGTATCTGGCAGAGCCAGAGCTCAAGTTCAGAATACAAGGCCTGATCCCTGGACTACTGGGGAAATGGGACTTCTTGAATTTTAATATGCATAAGATCATCCGGAGATCGTGTCAGAAAGAAGATTCTCCTTCTGTAAACCTGAGATTCTGCAGTCCTTGGGTGTACCCAGGTGTTGCTGCTGGTACTCTGAGTACTATACTTTGGGTAGCAAAGCCCTTGGATTCATTCTGTGGAGTCCAGGAAGCCAAAGGCTTCTTTGAGAATAAGTTGAAAGATAGAAATTCTTTCCACCAGAAAGATTTGCACCCACACTAGAGTCTGAATAAAATGTCAGGATTTTCAGAACCTCCTCCACTTCCATTCATAAGTCTCAACCATGGGCTTCTCTTAATGCCAAAATACAATTTCTAAGAGAAAGGGGGAGGGGTTAGAATGTTAAGGAGACCTTCCGAAAGGGGACCAAAGCAGAGCTGCCTCACAGAGCATCAGGCACACAGAATAATTCATAGCGACATGTGTCATGAAACAGAGACAATGCCTCAGGGCAGAACTGTCTACTTGTCCACTCTGCACAGTTTGCCTTGGTGGTGTGTTTCTTGCTCATGTCCGTATTGCCCAATTTCCCCTCCTCTCCATCTCTGAATTACTTATAAGAATTATTAAGACAATCCATGGGTTCCTCCCATGTGCCAGCCTTTATGCTGGGTGCCATCACCCACTGATAATCTTCACTTGGTAAATTATCCCAAGTTTACGATAAGGAGATAGACTACCTGACAGCTAACATGCTCAAGGGTATATAGCTAGTTAGAAGTGGAGATGAGATTGAATCCAGTGCAGTTTGGCTGTGAGCTCACATTTTCTGTGCCATTGCATCCTTCTTTTCTACCATCCACATTGTCAGATACACACCATGTCCAGATCAGGGTTCTTTCTATTACAGCTGCATTTCTGTCCCCCAAAAGAAATACATTAGTGCCAGTGTTGTGGCATAGCAGGTAAAGCCACCATTGCAGTGCCAGCATCCCATATGGTCACTGGTTCAAATCTCGGCTGCTCCACTTCCGATCCAGCTCTCTGCTATGGTCTGGGGAAGCAGAGGAAGATGGCCCAGGTGCTTGGGCCCTTGCACCTATGTGGGAAACCCAGAAGAAGCTCCTGACTCCTGGATTCAGATTGGCCCAGCTCCGGCCATTGTGGCCATCTAGGGAGTGAACCAGCAGATGGAAGACCTCACTTTTTTACTCTGCTGCTGACACTCTAACTCTGCCTTTCAAATAAATAAATAAATAAGGGAATACTTTGAATTTCATTTGCGAGTAATTAATTTTATGGGTGTAAATGTTCCAGATCAAGGGCTACACAATTAGTACTACCTTACTACCTTATTAGAAGGACCAACAGCATAAAA